CCAAAAAAATCGTGTTGAAGCCCTAACCAGCATGACTCCTTGGAGGCACTTACAGAGGTAATCAAAGTTAAATGAGGTCATTCGGGTGGGCCCTTATAGGACTGGTGTTCTTATCAGAGGGAGGAGAGAAACCTTAGTATCCTGTCTCCATCATGAAGGACCCAGTGAACAGGTGGCATTGACCTGCCAGGAAGAGAGCCCTCACCGAGAGGGAAACACCTTGGTCTTAGACTCTGTCCTCCAGAACTGGGAGATGATGAAGTCCTGCTGTATGAGCCCCCCCGGGCTGTTTTGTTATGGCAGCAGGAGCAAACTAATACACAACTTGGTCATGTCCTTGTCATGTTGCAGATCCCAGTTCTCTGACTTCAAAATCTGCAGCACACTCACACCCTGCCAAAACATCAGTGAGTCCCTGTTCACAAGGGGCAGTGCCCTGTGGCTCTGCCAGGGTCAGCCAGAAGCTACCCTTGGGTGCCTGTAGGTCAGGGTTTGCCTGCGGTACTCCAGGGCAGGGCCAGGACCCAGCCCTAGAAGGCAGGTCTCAGGAGCCCTGGAGTCTGACCTGGGTTTAGACAGGCCGAGGGCAGGCCTGGGTCACTGTTGGTGACTCTTGCACTAGGTTAGACTTGGGGAACATCACCAAGGTGTTCTGTTTGTCTTCCTCCTTTTCACAAGTATTTACTGAATGTCAGTGACACATCAGACACCATTCCAGAAACGAGGGGCCAGCAAGCCACCATACTAGGGCCTGATCCCACGGAGCTTACATCCCAGGGAGAACAGCAAGTGAGCGGGGACATGACTGCACGTGGAGGGGTATCCACAAAAGAACTCAGCAGCCAGCTGGGCAGGAAGGGCTGGGAGGGGTCTGCCTCGCTGAATGCGGAGTGATATCACATAGAGGAGGAACGGGTGCTCAGTGGGCACCAGGCTAGTGAGAGGCTGGGTGGCCAAGTGGGCCTGAGGGAGGTGGCCAGGCCAGTCACGGCTCCCACAGGGTGAGTAGAAGAGTGGGAAACTGGTGTGTGGGCAGACAGGACAGGCCTGTGGGCTGTGGCAGGAGGAATCCAATCTACATGTGTGTGTATATATATAATTTTATATATTTATTTATTTTAGTTGTAGATGAACACAATACCTACCTACCTCTCTTCCTCCCTCCCTCCCTCCCTTCCTTCCTGTGGTACTGAAGATGGAACCCAGTGGCTCACACACGCCAGGCAAGTGCTCCACCACTGAGCCCCAGCCCCAGCCCCAGCCCCAGGAATTCAATTTAATAAATGAAAGACAGGATTCTCGTAGCTGGTGAAGGGCAAAGGAATAGTAGCTGAAGGTCCTGGGAAGGCAGAGGAGCTCAAGGGAGCCGAGGGCAGGAGCCTATGGAAAGCATGGCTGATGTCCCACATGTCCAGACAGGGACCTGGGGACCAATCTTCTGCTGACCAAGAACCCGCTCTCTCTCTGAAGTGTCCACTTGCTTCCTTCTAAGACTGCTGCCCAAGGCACAGGGACTTCGGAGCCTGGAGTGCCCAGTGCTGAAAGGCAGCCGATGGTCCAGGTGTGCCCAGGAAGAAAGGGAGGGGTCACATGCTCTCTGGTCTCCTGGGGCTGGAACCTGGCACTAGCACTGGGGCTGCAGCAGCCCACAGGGATGGCCCTCTACTGGAAAGTGGGAAGTCTGACCCCAGTCTGGTTGGGTAGGGTCAAGGTGTTAGCCAGTCGGCCCTCCTGGCGGGCTCCATGGGAGGGTCCATTTCCTTCTTTTTCAGCTCCTGGTGGGCAGCTGCATGCTATCCTAGGCTGGTGGCTCCTTCCGCATCTTCAGAGCTGGCAGTGGAAGATGGGGCCCTCTCAGGCTGCCAGCTCTCTGGTTCTCCTGTGAGTCCATCTCCCTGTGGCTGCATATAGCTTCCAGAGCTTAGGGGGCTGATGTTGTTTGCTTATTTTATTTGTTTAACTTTTGCTGTATTATTATTATTATTAGTGCTGGGGATTGGACTCAGGGCCTCATGCATGCTGAGCAGGGCTCTGCCACTGAGCTGCACCCCAGCCCAGCTTCTAGAGCTTAGGACCTGGACATCTTCGGCATGGTTTGCTGCCTTCTGCAGTGTGAGTTGGGGGCTAAAGGCATAAGGGTGAACAGGTCTAGGTTCCTAGGCTGGCACGTCCAGAGATTCTGTTTGATGAGCCCTTGTGCTGGAATCTTTTGTCTGAAGTTTTGTGTTTGGTCACAGCTACAAATAAGACAAATCACTGTCTCTTGGGAGCCCATCATGTACCAGGTATTTTGCTACAACTATGGCCACGTACCACTTACAGTAATCACAGCTTTGTGCTGGGTCCTTGCTGCACACCGGGCTTGTGGGGGAGCATGGCATGGGCAGCCCAGTGGCTGACTCAGATTTCTGCTCCCCTGTCTCCACCGGCTGGGTAGAGGTCTGCCTTTGGTCACTCACCTTCTCCCCTCTCCTGCCGTTCAGTGGGAATCTGGCCCTTGGAACCACATTCTTCAGCTTTTGTGGTTCAGAATGGGAAGAACAGGTAAGGAGAGAGGCCTTGGAGCTTCCCTCCCAAGTCAGTCACAAATGTCTTCCATGGCTGTCTGGCTTCCTGGGATTGAACCCAGGGGCGAATAATCACTAAGGCACGTCCCCAGCCCTTTTTACTTTTTATTTGGTGACAGGGTTTCGCTAATCGCTTAGGACCCTACTAAGTTGCTGAGGCTGGCCTCAAACTTGTGATCCTCCTGCCTCAGTCTCCAGAGTCACTGGGATTATAGCGCCCAGCTCACTTTCCTTTTATACTCCACTCCACTAGCTGGACCAGAGACCTGCAAACCACGCCTTTGCCAGCTGTCTCTCCTTGGACTGTGCTTGTGGGAGTGGCCTAGGGAGGCTGGGAGGCTGAAGACAGGGAAGAATCTGCTCCCCTCAGCAGTTTGGTCTCACCCTGGCCACCCAGTGGTTTGCTTGCAGTGGTAATGAATGGCTGATTCTCATCTGCCCCTTCCCAGACCCAGCCTGTGCCCTCGGAGAGGTCAAGCAACAGCCCATGGCGCCCCTCCTCAGAAATCTGAGTCCCAGCCCCGGCTCCTCCTCGGGGATCTTGAGGTGGCAGCTCCAGGTTAGCAGGGGACCTTGCTCAGGTAGCTGGGGCCTGGGTCTCTCCGCCCCTCACCTGCGTGCTGTGGCTTCCTGGGTAGCTTTCCTGATACCACAGGTGTCCTGTGTTCCTTTCCAGTCCTCTGGTACCTGGTTAACAGTTCTTTATAGTCAATGCTTCCTGCTGAAATAACCGGTGTGGTTTCCTTCCCCCACTGGATTTAACAAGAGCCTTGGGTGTGAGACGCGGGAGTCTCAGGACCTCTCGATGTGCCGCAGAGGAGAGAATGCTCAGTGTTTTCCTCTCGAGGCACCTGCAGCACTCTGCCACCCCTACACCCTCCCAGAAGGCCCAAGGGATGCTAAGTACATCCTTGAGGGGGCACCATGTTCTGTATAACTGTGGGAATGACTGGGAGGTTGGCCACCATGGAGCCTGCAGAGGTCTGGGCAGCAGAGGCCAAGGGGCAGCTTGGGCTCTCAGAGTCCACCTTGGCGTGGATGTGTGCACTTTCTGCAGTTCAGCTCAGTTTTCCTCGGTCCTGTTCACAGGCATCCCCTGTTTTGGACCTTCTGTCCCATAGTCAACGAGTCACACGAGGTCCTAGCACTTTGTCACAGTGGGCTCTGTGCACAGCTGACTCTGCCCAGTTGTGCAGAGTTCTGAGGCCACTTCAGCAGGTGAGGCCGAGCTGCGACTTCAGCAGGTCAGGTGAATACTTGCATCTCCACCTCGCTGGGCCTTCTGCCTGCGATGGCTTTATTGGGACACAATCCACCGTAAACCAAGGAGCGCCTGTAGCGGAAGCATGGGTGGGTGGTGATGAGATGCCGCTGTCCTTTGGTGGTGACTAATTCATTTAGTATCCCCAGGAATGGAACAGGGGGACAGCTTACTTTACGTCACAGGAAAACCGAGGTTTGGATAACAAAGGGAAGGAAGGGCCTGGGACAATCACAACAGCAACATCTGAACCCAGTGGGCAGCTTTCCCAGCACTTGCCAAACGGGCTTCCCAAGGACCAACTGCATCTGCCCCTCGGAAAGTGCGACTCCCAGGTTTGGGGCCTCCTCCGAGTGGACACCAGCAGGGCGGAGCCCCTCCCTAGGGCATTGAGTCTCAGCTCTTTGCTGTCCTTCCTATGAGTTTCTGACCCTGATTTTTCCAACCCTTTCCATGTGTCCTTGTCCCTGGGTATGTTATAAGCTTTTATTTGTTTATTTATTTTTATTTTTAAGTTTTTCTTATTTGTTCTAATTAGTTATACATGACAGAGGACACATGATACATAAGTGGAGTCTGACTTCTCGTTCGTCTGGCTGTACATGATGTGGAGTTACATGGGTCAGGTAATCTCCCTGCACATAGTATAATAATGTCCAGTTGTACTGTCATGCCCACTTCCATGCCCCCTGCCCTCTCACCACTCCCACTGTCTAGTCCAAAGTACCTCTGTTCTCCCAGCCCTGTTGTGAGTTGGTGTGGCATATCCAGGAAACATCCAGCCTTTGATTTTCTGGACTGGCTTATGTCACTTAGCATAATAGTCTCCAGTTCCATCCACCTACCGGCAAATGCCATCATTTTACTCTTCTTTAAGGGTAACATTCCATCATGGATAAACACCACATTTTCTTTATCCATTCATCTGTTGAAGGGCACCTAAGTTGGTTCCGTAGTTTGGCTATTGTGAATTGAGCTGCTATAAACATTGACATGGCTGTGTCACTGTTCTACATTGGTTTTAAGTCCTTTGGGTATAACTCTAGGAGTGGGATGACTGAGTTGGTAGAAGCTTTCTTTCTTTTTTTTCTTCTGGTGCCAGGGATTGAACCCAGGGGTGCATAACCACTGAGCCACATTCCCCACCCTTTTCTTTTTGAAACAAGGTCTTGCTTCATGGCTTAGGGCCTCTCTTAAGTTGTTGAGGCTAGTCTCAAACTTGCAACCTTCCTGCCTCAGCCTCCGTAGCTTCTGGAATCACAGGCATGTGCCACCATGCCTGGCGAGATCTGTTGATTGGGAAGCCTTATTCCCAAAAGAAAATGTCCAGCGGTAGAGGAACCGGCCACTTGGCCACTGGACTGCCCAGGCTGGAGACCCAAACAGGCAAGGAAGAGGGTCCTGTTCTGGTGGCCATGGAGTGACTGGTCCCAACACTGAGGAGGATCTGACTCACCATAGCACAGTGTGCGGAAGGACAGTGTTTGGAAGCAAAGGCACCTTTGGGTGCCCACGTCTAGCAGTTAAAGTGAATTGGAAGCCTCAGCAGATGTGGGCAAGCCCTGGGCAGGTTCAGATCTTCTGAGCGTCACTCTACAGGTAAAGGGTCCTGACCGGCTGGAGGAGGACGTTCATGCATTTCAGCCACCACCTCCTGACCAGGACTAGGCGCCCGACCGTCTGTAGACAGCTTCCTCACGTGGATGTGCACATGCTAAGGACGCTCTGGTCTTTACTTACTGTGGTGGATAAGTTTTGTCACAGATTAACTTCATATTTTAGTATCTAGGTAGAACATTCAGATAGGGTTTTGAATGGATCGAGTGGCATAGGCAGGAAGCGCCTGACTGGGGATTGGCACCTCCTTGGTATGCCCCGTGAGAGCCGCACCGTCTGTCTGTAGGTAGTCGTGGTGGGGAGGGCAGCGCAGAGCCACTTGTGGCTGTGCGAATTCACAAGTGTGCCCAAGAGTGTTCAGGGCGGCTGTGCCAGTCGTCAATCACGGAGGCTCTGGGCGCAGCTGGGTGGTGCTGGGGCTATGGCTCTCAGCACCCGCTAACTGCAGGAGGCAGCAGAGGAAGGGTAGAACGTTCAGAACCTGGGAACTCAGAGCAGGGCTGGGACAGTACCTGCCCTGCCAGGGCTGTAGTCTCTGAGGGGGGTCCACAGCAACTGTCACACCAAATGCAAAGCTTCTGCTGAAAGGAACTGCTGCTGCCACAGGAAGATGCCCCTGGGTGTCACTCACAGGCAGGGAAGCACACACCGAGGGGGCGCCCCATTGCACCCCATCCTGAAGGCAGGCTCTGGAGCTTTGCACTGGCGAAGCCCAACCCAGGACAGCGTGAGGAAGGAATGTGACCTGCAGAACCCCCCAAACAGGCAAGGAAGAGTGTCCTGTTCTGGTAGCCATGGGGTGACTGGTCCCAACACAGAGGAGGATCTGACTCACCACTGCACAGCATGCGGAAGGACAGTGTTTGGAAACAAAGGCATGCCAGCAAGACATTGAGATGATATGATTATGTTAAGAACTGCATTCAATTGGATATTAGAACCTGCTGTCTGCCTTGGCCTGCTACTTTGGAGCTCTAGCGGGACTCCCTAAGAGTTCCCATTGGTTGGGGAAATGCGGTAGGAGGGATTTCCGGAGAAGGGATTTTCCTGTTGGTGTAGTGTGGCCCGGGAGAATGCCGCATGTGTGGTTCGGCATATTTCCCGGTAGCGGGCGTGGCATTGGCAGGAGTTTCAGAAATAAAAGTTTGTTCCTGCTTGAGTGGCTCGTGATTTTGTGCCCAGCCAGACTGCGGCAAGCAGGTCCTTGTCCTTGTCTCCAGCCCAGTGGACTATGCAGTGTGCAGGTGAAGCTCTTCATGAGCACCCTACCTCTTTAAATCCTGTAGGTGGGGTCTGCCTCTCCACTGGACCTTGGCTGACACAGGCCCTTGGGTCTATCTGTCACTTGGAGGGAGAGAGCTGGATCCTAAGTCGGCACCTCTGGCCACCCACACCCTAGACACAGCATTAAACCTCGTCTACACGCTGGCAAGCTCACACTGCTTGCCCAGGCCTATCAGGAGAATGCCACACACTTTCCTGTCCACTTGAGGACTCCGCTTGGCAATTTAATGCCTGAGACATGACACGGCTGAGCCAGGATGTGACTCTCTAGGTCATCTACTCTCCCACCAACTCCTCCCTAAACTTCTCCATTACAGCCATCTAGTTAGTTCCTCAAGTTCAAATACAGGGGAAATCAATGCTGATGTCTCCCTCCCTCCTGCTCCCCATATCTAATCCATCAGCAAGTCTAATAAACGTGTCCCTTGGTCTCCACGATGATTCCTCGCTGACCTTCACTACCACTCTGCCCAGTCTGGACCTCTACAGTGGACTCTCCATAGGCCTCTCTGCCCACTCTTGCCATCCCCTATACACCTCCTCTGGACAACAGCCAGATGGTCTTCTAGGAACATAAGTCAGAGCTCAGATCCCTCTAGTGTGCGTCCAACACACAGGTCACAGTAATGTGCTTAATGCTGGACGCAAGGCCTAGCTGAACGTGGCCCTGTAGGTCTCTCTGAACCATCCCACCCCTCTCTGGCTTTCTTCCTGAGGCTGAGGCCTCTGTGAGTGACCTGGAGCCCAAGCAGGGGAGAGGTGTGGACAGACTCTAGGCTCAGCACCTCACACCAGGTGCCCACTGGTCTCATCCACAGGGTGCCACAGCAGCTGCCTTCACTCCTCACGCTGGCGGCAGCCTGGTGTCCAGCAGGACCTTGAGATCAGCTCCTCCAGCCCAGTTCCAGCCCTTCCTACTCCTTACAGACTCCCTGTGCTGGACTTGTTCCTGGACTTGTCCCAGGGCATCAGTCACCACACAAAGGAAAGAGAATCTGCTTGCTGATGTCCCACGTTGTGCATCCAGCTATTCATCTTTTAAAGTTATGAAGGAAACCCTCTGAGTTAGAGTACAGATTGTCTCTGGCTTCAGCTGCAGCAACTTGAGATCTTACCCAACTTTCCCGCGGAGGATCAGGGCCCAGGAGAGAGTGAGCCTGTGGGTTTCTTTTTTTTCTGTCAAGATTCATCTTCCTTGGTAATTGTGGTTGTTCGGGTAAACTGATAATGAGATAATCACTAGGCACATCCGTTTCCCTTTGTATTGGAGACATAAGCAGGCCGTCTATGTCAGTTACTCTGCCAATCAGTCAGAAACCATAAGGGCAGGAAGGGAGGGAGGGAGGGAGGGAGAAAGGAAGGAAGGGCCAAAGGAAAGAAGGAGGAAAAGGAGGGAAAAATCTCCAAGCTCTGGTTCAAAATCATAACATCAGAGTTTTCTGGGCTGGCAAGACTTTTATGTGAAATTAAGTTTTAAAACTTCGTGAGTGATTCTGACGCACCTCCTGGGTAAGAATGGATGCTTTAGGAAGTTTCCTGGTAATTTTAATTCCCTGTCCTCAAAGGGGTGGGAACATAGACTTACCAACTCCTCTTGCAGATTAGAAAGAGAAAGAGCCAAGAAAGGTGAGCAACCCTCTTCTCCAGCTTCCTGCTGGCAGGTCCTAGGCTGTGCGGAAAGTTCCGGATGGGCTTTCAAGAGGAAGCGAACGTGGCTGGTGGGAAGCAGGCAGCAGGCAGGTGGGTGTCTGCCAGGGTAGGCCGCCGGCCTGCTGTGATGGAGCTCCAGCTCAGGCACGTTCTACCTGGCAGGCTGGCTGCAAGGATGGGAGGGACAGCTGCTGGGGTAAAAATAGAAAGCATTGTTGGTTTTTTTGAGGATGCTCACTTGAAAGAAGAGCATAAATCATTCTTTCGCCCAGAGCCCTTATTTGTTCTTTATACCTCTGACGGTGGTGTGCAGCAGGTGGGGGCTGAGGAGGGGGTGGCAGGGACACACCTCATCCGCGGAAATCCCCCTTGGTCCTGCATCCATTGGGGTGGGGAGGTGTGCCCATAGTGTGTGCCAGGAGGTCGAGGGAGAAATGGACACGGAAAGGAGGGACACACCTGGTGGGGACAGGGAGCCCGGGAAGGAGGGGAGAAAGGAGGGTGACCTCTGAGGCACTGAGAGGCTCCCACTCACTGAGGTGTGGGCAGCTGTCAGCTCCCACTCTGCTCCCACACGGCCTCGGCCCTTCTTGGTGCTTATGGTGAGGTTCCTCCCAGGGTTTCCTTCAGGAATTTGGGGGAGCTCTCACTCTGATCTCAGACCTCCAGCCTCCAGAACTCTAAGAAAAATATCTTTTTTGTTGTTGTTTATTAAACACAAAACTTGAGGAGGGGATTGGAGGTAGGGGCTGGGGACTCTGGCAGTCTGAGGCTGCCCGAGCCCCTGATCCTGGGCGTCCCCCCCCCCCAGGCTAGAACCAGCTCGCTCACCGTTAGCTCCCAGCCCGGCCCCTGCCGCCACCTCTGCTGACATTTCCTTTTGCTGCTTCTCCTCTGAGTCAGCACAAAGCTCTGTTCCGCTGATACCGCTCCTCTGCTTACAGCCAACGTTTCTTTAGCCTTAATCCCTTAAAACCCCCTTAAACAACTCAAAAGCAATAAAGAGATAGTTCTTGGTTACATTTCTCCCCTTGGCTTTGTTCTTCTTAACCCTCTTCTCAGATTGCAGGCTAGAAGGCCTTTGTCTCTGTTGACTCACCTCCTCCATTCTAATGAGATCACCCACAGCACAAACTGGCCGCTCTCCCGACTGGGTGTTGGGTAACAGAGCTGTTAGGGAAGGGACGGAACTTCCAGGAGGACAGGGGAGGGGCCACTTTGACACAGCAGTTACTCCCAGGGGCCCAAGGTTTGTAAGCCCCAGGGCAGCTAATCCCCCAGTGACCGGATCTCTTGATCTCTTCCGTTCTCCCAAATATCTGCACCTGTAGTGGGGACAGCAATCCTTGGCCCATCCCACTCCCCAGGGTTCCCATTGCATCCTCAGGAGGAAATACACATGTTACTCATTAAACTATTAACTTTAATTCTGCTTCTTAGCACAAAAATGTTTGATAGAAATTGGCTAGGACAGATTTTTTCCCCCAGGGGGACCATGGTACTGGAGATTAACCCAGGGCCTGAGTGCCAGTCAGGCCTCTGCCACTGAGCCACACCTCCAGCCTTTGTAGTCCATTTGACGCAGGGTCTTAATAAATAGCCCAGGCTCACCTCAAATTTGCCTTCCTCCTGCCTTAGCCTCCAAAGCTGCTGGGCCCCACAGTGCTCTGTTTGGGGTAGGCACATTTTGGTTAAATTTGGCCACCAGCAGAGGAGGACAAGGCTTAGTTGAGTGAAGGAATAGAATACAATGTGCTGCTCATGGGAGCCCGGGATTTGGATTTGGAGAAAGCCCTCTGCCTCTTGGAACCAAGGGACCTTATGTGTAGACTGAGGGAAGCCGACCATGAGGCCGGTCATGGTGACAGGTACAGACAACAAATCACGAATGGGGTCCGCACAGCGACTGGAGGCCATGGAGGCCAACCAGGACGACAGTGTCACCAGCCATGCTATGTGTGCACAATAAGCTCCAGAGACCCGGCTTAGGAGGGAAGCCCAGGCAGTGAGGGCAGGTCGGCAATATCCCCCAGTAAAGCAACTGAAGGTGAGGGGCTTCACGTCAGCAATCAGATGCCCAGTTACACACGCACACCAGCACACACGGGTCTACTTACACAGAGAAGGGGGTCAAGGGTTCAGGGGTTGTTGAAGATGGGACATGGAAACATGGGCTTGCAACCAAATCTTCACTGTGAGAAGGGACTCCGCGTGGGGAAGAGAGGGGAGAAGCAAGCGGCTCTCTGTAGTGCCTGGTCTCTGGTGGTCCATCCTGGAGGTGATGCCTGTGTCTGGGACTGGCCACCTCAGCAGCCCCATTCGGAGCCCAGACCCCAGCCCCTCTGAATGCCAAGTGCACTTTCCTTTGTTGATAAGGAGTTTGGCAAATCTGGGGAGGAAAGGAAATAAGGTTTCGATTTTTCTGTAGAGCTGGTGTCAAACCCAGACCCTACGCACATGTGCGCCTAGCACTACTACTAAGCTGCAGCCCAGCCCACAAAGTGGGGATTCAGGTAACTTATGAGGCCCCCAGAATTTGTTTCTGAATACATTTAAAAGAATCTAGCTTTATGCCTTTGATTTTCCTTTATAATTGATTTTAAAATGTAAAATACATAAAAGAATCAGATTCACATTTTCAACATGTTTGAAGGGTTAGTGAAGAACCTGCTTATAAATCTTAGTAGATTTTCTTAGATTTGCAACAGTTATTTAAAATCTTAGTGGTAACTCTTAGAATCAGCCTCTTTAAAATTCATTTTAGGCTAGGCACAGTGGGACTCCTGTAATCCCAGCAGCTCAGGGGACAGAGGCAGGAGGATTATGTGTTCTAAGCCAGCCTCAGCAACTTGGGGAGGACCTGAGAAACTTAGCAAGACTCTGTCTCTAAATAAAAAATTAAAAGGGATGGAGATGTGGCTCAGTGGTTAAGTGTCTCTGGGTTTAATCCCCAGTACCAAAAAACAAAACAAAAATAAATAAATAAATAAAGTATCATTTTGGGATTTATATTGATATTGCCTTGATTCTATAGATAAGTTTGGGGAACAGATCCATTGTAACAATGTTGAGCTTCTATTCCATGAATATAGTATATCTTCCCATTTACTAAGCTCTTCTTTCATTTTCTTTTGCAATGTTTTTCAGTTTTCAGTATATAGATCTTACTTTTTTTTTAAATTACAGATATCATGAAGAATTTTGTTTTTTTTTATTACAGCTTAAAGGATGTAATTTGTTAATTTTATTTTCTGAGACTTTATTGCTACAATACAATTTTGTTCATTGCTACAATACCATTTAAAGTTCATTGCTACAATATAATACAATTGATTTTTGTAAATTTGTATCGTATCATACAATCTTACAAATTCAGTTATTGATTTTCCTTGTCCATGTTTAGATCTATTAGTGATGTCAGGCATTAGTGATGTTGGTTTAGTGTGATGAGGATTTTTATCATACATGTGTTCATAAGAAGGTTCTTCAAAGCTCTCCAAGTATGGTTAAATTCTTTTCCTGCATTTATTGGAAAGACTACATGGTTTTTCTCCTTTATTTTTGCTAATATAGTAAATTACATATTTGGGGATTTAAAGTGTTAAATCAATCTCTCATTCCCAGGAAAAACCATGATATGTTATCCTTTTTAAATATTCTTAGATTTGATTGGCTAAATTTTTGTTAAAGATTCTTGTTTTGTTTTGTTTTGAGACTGTGGCTTGTTATGTCACCAGGCTGGCCTGGAACTCCTTGGCTCAGGGGGCCCCTGCCTCAGCCTTCCAAGGAGCTGATGACACAGGCACATGCTGTGAAAGGTGGTTCATGAGGAATATTCGTCTGCAGTCTTCTCTTCTGATGATGTCACTGTCGGGTTTTACCTTCAGTAGAAAGCTGAACACAAAAGTGAAATAGCAAGTTTTCTCTTCTCTGCATCTGGTGGAGTTGGTGTAGAATTCTTTTTGTAAATGGTTGATAGAGTCCATGGGTACAAACTACCTGGGCCTGGTATTTTCATTATGGGAACATTCTCACTTATGAAATTTTTACATGACAAATTTTCTATTTCATTACATTTTGATAATTTTGTGTCTTTCAATAAATTAGTCTGGTTAAGTTTTCAACTTCATTGTCTTAAAGTTTTAATATTTTATTATCATTTTAATATCAATAGAATATCTACTTGTGTCCCCTTTTTCATCCCTGATTTGACAATTTGTGTCTTCAATTTTTCTGGATCAGTCTAGCTAAAGTCTTATCAATTTCATTGAACCTTTCAAAGAACACACTTTTGGTTTTACTGATTTTTTTTCTATTGTTTGTTCATTTTGCTTTTCATTGACTTCTGCTCTTATTATTTCTTCCTTCTACTTATTTTAGGCTTAATTTGCTTAAATGATTCATTTTGGGCCATTCTTCTTTCCTAAAATAAGCATTTAATTTAGTGAATATGTGTCCTTTTAAGTCCAGCTTTAGCCACATTCTGCAAATTTTGACATGCTCAATTTTTATCACTGGGTTGAAATACCTTCTGATTTCCAAGGTGATTACTTTCTAGCCTGTGTGTTATCTAGAACAGGGGTCCTCAACCAGGGCAACATGGTCCCAGGAATATTAGGTAATGTCAAGGGATGCTCTGAGTTGTTACCTGGGAAGAGTGCAGCTGTTGCCTGGTACATGAGGCAGGTACCCTGCTGGGCTCCCTGCGGTGCACAGGGGAGCCCCTCTCCCCCATGTCCTGCACAGGTGGTGGAAATGGGGTTCCCCCCAGTGGTATGGGCTGGCTGAGAAATAAAAGCTAGGAAAAATAGAATGACGAAAAACCCCACAGGACACAGGAAATAACTTCAAAAGCAGAGTCAAGATGGGCTAGCTGATCATACAGCTCAAACTTGTAGACTCTGGCAAAATGGAGCACCCAGCTGCTTTATTTATATCGGGAAACATCAAAGGCCTTCCCTAGAATGCTCTTCATCAGGAAAGGTTAAAGATGGGGCTGGGGTTGTGGTTCTGCAGTACAGAGCTCGCCTAACATGCCGAGGACCTAGGTTCCATCCTCAGCACTATATAAAATAAAATAAATAAAGATATTTTATTTTACAACCATCTACAACTAAATTTTTTTTTTTTTTTTTTAAAAGATTCAACGTGGGCTGTCCAGTTCCCAACAGGTTAACGCCCATCTCTGGAGCTGCTACAAGGGATCTTCCAAGCAGAGCAAGGATAAAGATCATACACATTGGGCAATCTATTGCCACAGGACAGCCAAGAAAGATCTTCATATAATTCAAGGGTGGCTTACTGCAAGTCCCCATGACAAAAACCCAGCCCAGGGGTGATAAGCCCTGTATAAAATTATGCTGTTTAATTTCCAGATATATGGACTTTTTCAATTATTTTTATAGTTCTTGATTTTCAATTTTGTTCTATTGTAGTTAAAGAACATAGCTGGTATTATTTTTTTGTTGAAGTTTTTAACTATTTTAATAACTTTATTTTATTTTTATTATTTTTATTAACGTGGTGCTGAGGATTGAACCCAGTGCCTCACACATGCTAGGCAAGTGCTCTGACACTGAGCCACAATCACAGTCCCTATTTTAATCTTTTAAAATTTATTAAAGCCTGTTTTATGGCCCATTGTGTGGTCTGTTCTGGTGAATACACCACGTATACTTGAATAGATGTGTATTCTGCAGTTGAGGAGTATAATAGTCTGTAAATAACTATGGCTCAAGGTGGTTGAGAGTATCATACATTTTGTCAGTATGTTTGCTGATTTTGTTACTGTTGTATTTTTCTACAAATTGTGGAGAGAGAAAGATGTTAACATTTAGATATGATTATGAAACTCTCTCCATTTAATTCTGTAAATTTTTTACTGTATGTTTTTGAAGCTCATTACTTAGTGTATACTTACTTGTGGCTGTTAAATCTTCCCGATGGATCACTCTTTTCACTATTATGAAACATTTTTCTTTATCTCTAGCTTTTGTCCTGAAATGTATTTTATCTAACACTACCGTATTGTGCTTGCTGTTGGAATGAAGTCTGCTTTCTCATTCATCTACTTTCACCTCTGTGTGTAGCCTAAAGAAAGAATACAGTTCATATCTCTGTTATCTCAGGATGTGGTAACAAAATGCTATAGGTTTGGTGGCTTAAACAGTGTAAATTGGTTTTTCTTACAGTTCTGGAAAGCAGGAAGTCCCAGAATAAAGTGCTGGCCAGCTCAGTTCTTGGTGAGGCTGTCCTCTGGCTTTCAGATATCTGCCTTCTCCCTGTGTTCTCCTGTGGGGGGCTACATGGCTGGCTGGATAGGGGGTTGGATGGATGGGTAGGTAGGTAGGTAGGTAAGTAGGTAGGTAGATAAACTGCTCCCTCTGTGATGTCACCTCTCAAAGGACACAAATCTTATGGTATTGGGCTTCCCCACTTATGACCTCATTTAACCTTAATTATTTTCTTACTCCACATACAGGAGTTAGGGCTTCAACATGATGAATGGGACACCATTCCGTCCATGGCAGTTGGATCCTTCTTTATATTTATTTGGACAGTTCCTGCTCACCATGATAGGTCTCATAATCACAGCATACATTTTTTATCTTTTTTGTAGTTTACTCAATTACTATTGTTCTCTTTTTGGAAAAAATACTGAAACTTTGCAGCTACACAGGTCTATCTCTCATTTCCTATATTTATTGTATGCTGAAAATCTACATAGGTTATAAATCCCACTGGAAAATGATACAATATTTGCTTTCAATGGTCATATGTATTATAAACAATTAAGAAAAATAAGACAAAGATGGTATTTTTATTTACCCAGATATTGGTCATTTCCGATGGTCTATATTCCTTTGTAAAAGATGTTTAAGGGTGACACTATTTTAACTCAGCATGAAGAATTCCCTTGAGGAAGTCTTCATTGCATGAGGGTCTGTTGGGAGTGAGTTTACTTATTATTTATCTAAGGGATTTTCAGCATCTGTCCTGATGAACATGGGAGCAAATATGTCTATAAATTCATGTTTTGCTTTTTGGCAAACAGTAGAAGGCAAAGGGTTCTGTTTCTCGGATGCCTGCAGATTGGTTCAGTGCTTTGATATTCTTTCTGTGCTACACTGTGTCTCAGGGAGTCTTCATTTTACCTTTAGCCTCAAAGGATATAAAACTCTGACTTACCAGGGACTTTTTCCCCCTTTAGGTACTTTAAAGACGTGTGCGTGTTAGTTACTGGGGATTGAACCCAGGAGTGCTCTGCTACTGAGCTACACCCCAGCCCTTTTTATTTTTTATTTTGAGTCAGGGGCTTGCTAAGTTGCTCAGGCTGGTCTTGAGCTTGCAATGTTCCTGGGTCAAACTCCTGAGTCACTGGGACTTTAAAGACTTTTTAAACTGTTATGTTTGCATTTCCAAGGAATAATCAATGATAATCATTCCATTGCATATAATTTGTCATGTTTTCTTTTTTTCTTTTTTTTTTTTTAAAGAGAGAGTGAGAGAGGAGAGAGAGTGATAGAGAGAGAGAATTTTTTTAATATTTATTTTTTAGTTCTCGGCGGACACAACATCCTTGTTGGTATGTGGTGCTGAGGATCGAACCCGGGCCGCACGCATGCCAGGCGAGCGCGCTACCGCTTGAGCCACATCCCCAGCCCCGTGTCATGTTTTCTTACTGCTTTCAAGATTTGCTCTTTATTTAGGTTTTGTTTTTTTTTTTTTTTTTTTTAACAATTTCACTACAATGCATCTTGTGGTGTGGCCTTTTTCACATTTATTCTTAGTGTTCACTGGGCTTTTTTTTTTTTTTTTTTCCTTTTAGCACTGGGGATTGAACTCAGAGGCGCTTAACGCTGAGCCACATCCCCAGCCCTTTTTATTTTTTGTTTTGACACATGGTTTCACTGAGTTGCTGAGGCTGGCTTTGAACTCGCAATCTTCCTGCCTCAGCTTCCTAAGCTGCTGGGATAACAGGTGTGCACCACAGCACCCACCATCTGAAATCGTAAATTTGTATTCTCCATGAAATTTGGGAGATGTTCAGTCATTAGTTTTTCAATGTGTTTGGTGCCTCATTTTCTCTTTTTCCTTGCACACTATGATTACATACTGGCAAGCCCCTTTGCATTACCTAATAGTTACCAAAGACTCTTAAATTTTTAAAATATTTTTTTCCTTCTATGTTTCTCATACCAGTTAATTTCTAGTGTCTATTGATCTGTCCTCAAGTTCACTTACTGTTTCCTCTGTTAACTCTGTTTATCATGAACTTTTTAATTTTTAGATATTATATTTCAGTTCTAGAATTTCCATTTGGTTCTTGTATGTTGTATATTTCTCTAATGAGATTTTTCTTTTCTTTTCTCTTTTTGCAGTACTGGGGATTGAACTCAGGAATGCAACTTAGCAAGACCCTGTCTCAAAGTAAAATATAAAAAAGGGCTGTGGATGTGGCTCAGTGATTGAGCACCTCTGGGTTAAATTCCTGGTACCAAAAATAAAATAAAGTAAAAGACAAGAGAGAAACAGAGTTGAGGAGCATCATCTTTAACCCTTGCCACAGATAGTGTGGTCTGGGGACCAGCAGTATCAGGTATCACTTGGGAACTTAATAAAAATGTAGATTCCCAGGGTCCATCGCAATCCTCCTGAATTATAATCTCATTTAACAAGCTTGCTGGGTGATTCATGTACCTACTGGCTGAAAAAGCAGTGGTTTTTGTTATACTTGATTTTTCAGACTTGCTGAGGCTTGCTCTGTGGCCCACTCTACAATACATTTTTGTGAATGTTCCATTGTGTTTGAGAAGGATGTATATTCTCTAATAATTTGGCATAGATTTCCACAAATGTCCTTTAATTCAAGCTTGTTATTTATGTTTTGCTGATTTGGGGGGTCTATTTGTCCAGTACTGAGAATCATATGCTGAAACCTCTCACTATAAAAATGAAATTTTAAATTTCTCTCTATAGTTCTATCAATTCTTTCTATATATTTTGGAGTTAATAATATTATTAAGTGCAAATATTATTTTACGATCTTACAACATTTTTGTCATATATCTTCACTTTCTCAACTCTTTCCCTGAGTGTTGGCTGGTGCATTACAGTCATTCGTAATGGTTGGATGGTTACATATGTGGGCATGGACACATCATAGCACCAGAACTTGGCCAATATCATTCCCAGTAATCCCCTCTCTCCCCTCTTCCCTCCCCTGGTATTTTCTCTACTCAAATGATCTCCCTTAGATTTTCATGGGATGCTCCACATCTTTCTTTTCCCTTTTCCTCTCTGGCTTCCACATACGAGGGAGAATGTAGGACCCTTGACTTTCTGAGTTTGGCTTATTTTGCTTAACATAATATTCTCAAGTTCCATCAATTTTCCAGAAAACAACATTTGATTCTTCTTCATGGCTGAATAAAATTACATTGTGTATATACACCACATTTTCATTATCTGCACAATATTTATTCTTGTTTATTTATTCTTTGGTACTGGGATTGAAACTAGGGGTGTTTAACCACTGAGCCACATCCCCAGCCTTTTTTTTTAAAAAAAAATATTTTAAGTCATCCCACTAAGATGCTTAGGTCCTCACTAAGTGGCTGAGTCTGGCTTTGAACTTGCAATCCTCCTGCCTCAGCTTCCCAAGCTGCTGGGATTATAGGCGGGCACCATCACACCTGGCTTAATCTCTATTCTTATTTTTTTCTTGGGGGTGTGTGTGTGCTGGGGATTGAACTCAGGGACACTTGACCACTGAGCCACATCCCCAGCCCTACTTTGTATTTTATTTAGAGACAGGGTCTTGCTGAGTTGCTTAACACCTCGCTGTTGCTGAGGCTGGCTTTTTGAACTCTCCATCCTCCTGCCTCAGCCTCCCAAACTGCTGGGATTACAGGCAGATGCCACTTCACCCAGCATAATCTCTATTCTTGATGATGTTTTGTGTCTTAAGTCATTTTGTGATATTGAAATATAGCCATACTAGCTTTCTTGAGGTTAGGATTTGTCTGTATCTTTTCCTTTCCTTTTGCTTTCAGCTTTTGTTTTTAGCTTTGAACCCTAATATCTCGTTGATCTTGAGATCTTTCTGTTGTGTCGCAGTTTCTGAAGTTAACCATGGTGCTTGTAATATCAAGAACTTTGTTCATTTCTTTTACATCCTGTATGACATCCATCCCTTTCAGGACTGGCTGTTCTTTTTGATATCATTAGCTGTTATCATGTAGCTGGTGATCTTTGGTTATCTGTTTGTATTCTAAAAACAGAACTCTTGATAAGTATTCGTAACAGTTATGAATCCCTCTGCTGTTTCCTTGACAGACTTCACCTTGCAATGGTAGGCTGAATAGACTGTGCCTTGCAGCTCACACTAAGACATGAGCTCCCAGGCAGCAAGAGAGGCTCTGGGGGCATCTTGTTCCGGGGAGGGCTGATTCCCCCTTGGTTTCTGCACATCTCACCTTTACCTAGGAGTTACCCTGGACTTTGCTCTGCATCTTAAGCAAGGACACCCTAGATCAGAGCAGAGCCTGCAGCTCCTTGGACAGCTGTTCTGCCTCTACTTTGAGACCCAGCTGAAGTTTCCTTAGGCTGCCCTTAAAAATGCATTTTAGAACAAATGTTGGAAGAAAATTAAGACTCAAAGTTCCCTTTTTAGTAATCAGAATAATTATTCCAATAGGCAGACTTGATTTTCAGTGTGTCTTTGTGATTCATTTAGCCATCTACCTTCCTCATCTTCCAGCAGTTTACATCTGGAATTGTTTTCTTTTTATTATTATTATTATTATTATTATTATTATTATTATTATTTCTCTTTTGGTGCTGGGGATGGAACCTAGGACCTTAGACATGCTAAGCCCACCTTCTCCCACTGAGCTACCTCCCCAGCCTACTCATTAATTTTTTTTTCTTTGTATTCTATTTTTCTTTTTTGTTCTTTTCAAATAATTAGAATAAATACTTTAATTTCTATTTCCATTTCCCCAAGTAAGAAGATATGAAGGAAATTACCATCACATTCTCTATACTCTAATGCGTATGAAACTTTATAAATTTTCCTAAACCATAATGTCACTGTTACGGTAACTTTGTGGAAAAGGAAATGCCAACTTCTGCCTTCTATAACAAGGGTTAGTGGAAATGAAGGTAACACATAGCAGCTAAATTTGATAGCTAATCATCATTATGGAAATTTTCTTAGAAAAACTTTTAACTCACCATGGTACTTGTGCTTTCTGTTGAAGGATCTTAATCTTAGCAGGAACACAATCTAACTTAAATACCCACTTACATAGAAAGGTTTTGCAGAA